AGCTGCCTGACAACCACGGACAGGGGCCTCTGCTGAACCGGCAGCCCCACCACCTGCGGCGGCAGCTGCTTCTGATGCATCACCACCTGCGGCGGGCTTCCGAGGCGCCAGCCGCCGAACAAATCGCGCGGCTACGAGCTCCGAAGCCCGGCTTCAGAGCTGGGCCGACAGCAGGCGCCAGCAGCCGCGACATTACAGTAGGCAGACGTGCTGCTGAGCCGACTGCGGGGCAACCTGCCTCAAGTGGCGCCGGCAGCTCGAACGACCACAGACGACTGCCACAAATAGTAGCCAGACGTGGGCGACAACAGGGAGGTGATCCACCTCCACCGCCACCTGCGGGTGACCCTGCTGCTCGTCCAAGGCTTCCAGACTGGTAAAGGTTTGACGTGCAGATCAGCTTACAGAACCTACGCGGCCTCGACCCAAGCGCGGTTGCGCGCGAGCTGCGAAAACTACATCTGCGATGGCCCCAGGCCAAGGGGCCTAAGATGATGCTCATCTTAACCAAGGCTGGTCTGGATAGCGTTAGGCTAGACTTGATAAAAGGCGTCTTTGACACATGCCGGGGGCTCAGGGCTTGGGACAAGCTTGGACAGACTATAATGTCGTCTACCGCATTACCTGGCAAATTCAATGATGAAGTCGAATGCGACCTAGTGTTCTACAAACAGGGACAGCAGGTATTTCAAGTAGTCGATCGCTGCGTTTGAAGCGGCGCTGGAATCGAGATACCAGACAAAACTCCGACCAGCATCCTAGATGCGCACCATCAGTGCTGGATGCAGTTCGGACCTGCCAAAGTATTACACTCTGACGGAGAGGGCACTCTCAGTAATGGCACCGCAACGGCAGCCTTTCAGGCAGAGGGCACTGAGCTAAGGATACGTCCGCGTGGACAACGCGCTACTACCATTGAAGCCAGAAGTTGTATACTACGACACTTACTTCACGTCATGGAGACTGAACTCAGTAGGTTAGACATGCAGCTTGCGTTCCCCCGACGATTGCATGTGTTCCTGTTTGTTGCCAACGCGCTTACTGCATACAACAAGGTATCCCCATGCATCGCACTGTTTGGCCGACAACCTGCAATGTTACCCGACCTGCCTGTTCTAGATCACGAACAACAGACGGATACACCCGATCATACTCGAGAACAGACTATCCGCCGGGTAGGCATTGAGGTTATTACACAAGCCACTGCAATTTCAAAAAAACAAACCGCGCATTACGGACCAAGACGACCATCACCGGTCAGCATTATCATGACGAAGGAGATCAAGATGACTACCATCGCCCAACAACTATGAAAGGCGACTGGGGTGGCTGGAATGGACCCTTCCCTCTCGTGCGGAACGATCTTGAGAGGGGCCAAGTTATTCCCCATATCCTAAGTATGGGGTTCTTCCCCATGTCCTAAGTATGGGGTTCTTGTTCCCCATATCCGAAGTATAGGTTTCTTGCGCTTACCTAAGTATGGGGTTCTTGTTATTGGCGGGCCGCGCCGGAGGAGAACACAGACGATAACACACCACTCCTCTCACTCAGACCCACTCAGACTCAGTCATCATTCAGACTCACTCATCACTCAGACTGAGTCAGTCACTCAGACTCACTTATCACTCAGACCCACTCATCACTCAGACTCACTCATCACTCAGACCCACTCATCACTCGGACTCAGTCATGACTCAGACTCATCACTCATCACTCAGACTCATTCATCACTCAGACTCACCCATCACGCAGACTCACTCATCACTTCAGACTCACTCGTACTTGTACTCATACATTCACTACATTCACTCAGGTCCACTCATCGGATGACTCACACACACACGCACTGATGTTGAGGATGTGTCAGGCGATTCTGTGGCTTCAGCACTCCTAAGGGGAGAGGCGAGGGGGTATTTCCTTCGGCCCCTTTCGCGGATTGTTGTGGGGATGTCTCAGGTGGTTTGGCCGTTTTGTCTTCCAACCTGTTTCGCTTCCGGAGCAGTTTGCGAGGATGTCTCAGGCGATTCGCTGGTCTCAGCACTCTAAGGGGAGCGGCGGGGGGTATTTCATTCGGCCCCTTTCGTAAGATTTTGTGGGGCTGTCTCAGGCGGTTTGGCTTTTCTCTCTTCCGACATGTTTCGCTTTCGGAGCAGATTTGGAGGATGTCTCAGGCGATTCGCGGGTTTCAGCACTCTAAGGGGAGCGGCGGGGGGTATTTCACTCGGCCCCTTTCGCGGGATTTTGCGGGGATGTCGCAGGCGGTTTGGCCATTTTCTCTTCCAACATGTTTCGTTTTCGGAGCAGTTTTGGGAGGATGTCTCAGGCGATTCGCTGGTTTCAACACTCAAATGGGAGCGGCGGACGGTTTCTCCTAATGGTGAAATAAGCGTTTTAATGGTGAAATAGAAATCTTAATGGTGAAATAGAATTTCTTAATGGTGAAATAGAATACCTTAATGGTAAAATAAAATACCTTAATGGTGCAATAAAATACCTTAATGGTGAAATAAAATACACCACGTAAACACACCACGCAAACACCACGCCAAAACACCACGTAAACCGCCGCTCCAGCGGCGCATGCAAACACCACGCAAAAACACCACGTAAACCGCGACCTGCCCCACTGCGCCCCCGCGCCGCTCCAGCGGCGCACGCGAACACAACGCAAAAAAAAAACACAACGTAAACCGCGGCCTGCCCCACGGCGCCCCTGCGCCGCCCCAGTGGCGCACGCAAGCACCACGCAAAAACACCACGCGGAAACAAAAAAAAACACCACGCAAACCGCGACCTGCCCGACGGCGCTCCGGCGCCGCTCCAGCGGCGCACGCAAACACCACGCAAAGACACCACGTAAACCGCGACCTGCCCCACGGCGCCCCTGCGCCGCTCCAGTGGCGCACGCAAGCAACGCAAAAACACAACGCAAAAACACAACGTAAACCGCTACCTGCCCCACTGCGCCCCTGCGCCTCTCCAGTGGCGCACGCAAACACCACGCAAAAACACCACGTAAACCGCGACCCGCCCCACGGCGCTCCGGCGCCGCTCCAGCGGCGCGCGCAAACACCACGCAAAAACACCGCGTAAACCGCGACCTGCCCCACGGCGCTCCGGCGCCGCTCCAGCGGCGCACGCAAACACCACGCAAAGACACCACGTAAACCGCGACCTGCCCCACGGCGCTCCCGCGCCGCTCCAGCGGCGCACGCAAACACAACACAAAAACACAACGTAAACCGAGACCTGCCCCACTGCGCCCCCGCGCCGCCCCAGCTGCGCACGCAAACACCACGCAAAACACACACAGCGTAAACCGAGACCTAGCGGCGCTCGCAAACACAGCGCAAAAACACCACGTAAACCGCGACCTGCCCCACGGCGCCCCTACGCCGCTCCAGCGACGCGCGCAAACACCACGCAAAAACACCACGTAAACCGCGACCCGCCCCACGGCGCTCCCGCGCCGCGCCAGCGGCGCACGCGCGCGGCGCCCCCGCGCCGCTCCAGCGGCGCACGAAAACACTACGCGCCAAAACAAAAACCACGTAAACCGCGACCTGCCCCACGGCGCTCCTGGGGCGCTGCAGCGGCGCTCCAGCTGCGCCCCCGCGCCGCTCCAGCGGCGCACGAAAACACTACGCGCCAAAACAAAAACCACGTAAACCGCGACCTGCCCCACGGCGCTCCCGGGGCGCTGCAGCGGCGCTCCAGCTGCGCCCCCGCGCCGCCCCAGCGGCGCACAAAAACACCGCGCAAATACACCGCGCAAAAACACCACGCAGAACAAAAAAACACGCCGCGTGAACCGCGACCTGCCCCACTGCGTCCCCGCGCCGCCCCAGCGGCGCACAAATGCACCACGCAAATACACCGCTCAAAAACACCACGCAAAAACGCACCACGTGAACCGCGACCTGCCCCACTGCGTCCCCGCGCCGCCCCAGCGGCGCACAAAAACACCACGCAAACACACCGCGCAAAAACACCACGCAAAACCGCTACGTGGTGTTTTTGCGTGGTGTTTTTGCGTGGTGTATTTGCGTGATGTATAATTCACCCTCCAGCGTTCGCGTGGTGTTTTTGCGTAGTGTTTTTGCGTGGTGTATTTGCGTGGTGTTTTTGCGTGGTGTCTGATTTCACCATTAGGACGAACTCTCGGAGCGGCGGGGGTGTATTTCATTCGGCTCCTTTCGCGGGATTTTGTGGGGACGTCTCAGGCGGTTTGGCCATTTTCTCTTCCAGCATGTTTCGCTTTCGGAGCAGATTTGGAGGACGTTCGCGCCCAGTTCGCGGGGATGTCTCAGGCGGTTTGGCCGTTATGATGCTGGGCATCTGCCGTTTTCGGAGCAGTTTTGGGAGGATGTCTCAGGCGATTTGTTGGTTTCAACACTCCCAAGGAGGAGGACAAGAAGGAAGAGGAGGAGGAGGAGGAGGAGGAGGAGGACGAGAAGGAGGAAGCGAGGAGGAGGAGGAAGAGGACGAGGAGGAGGAGGAGGAGAAGGAGGACAGCAAAAACACTGTAGGAGCAGAAGCAGGAAGGGGATGATGATGATGATGATGATGATGATGATGATGATGATGAGGAGGAGGAGGAGGAGGAGGAGGAGGAGGAGGAGGAGGAGGAAGTGGGCAACCCGAGTAGCCAGGGCCAGACGATCGAGGTTCGATGTTCCAAGGCTTTAGGTTTTACTCAAAGGCTTCTGCCTCGCTCTCCTTCGCTCTCCGCTCTCCTTCACATACTCACGCATACTCAGACTCAGTCACACGCAGGCTCACTCGCACTTAGACTCGCTCATATCCATACTTAAACTTACTCACACTCAGACTCACGTTCAGAACCACTCATACTCATACTCGCTCCTGCTCAGACTCATCATCCTTCGGCCCGCTCAAACGCAGACCGACTCACATTCAGTCTCACCTTTGCTGCTATTAGGGTGCTCTGCTGGGGTAAATCCTGCCCTCCCTCCTGCACCTCCCTCCGCAGCCGACCCGGCCCAGGCCGTTCTGACTCCAGCGCGCCCGCCCCCACCCCCCCACCCTGGCTTGCGGTCCATGCTTGGGGTCGACGGGAGTGGCCGCTGGCTCCGGGCGAGAGAGATGATCTCAGCAATATTTTCCTGGGTTTCCAACTGCGACTGCCCTGAGCCAACGTGATTACAAGCGCACCCGATGCAAGAGACGGCGGGGGGAGAGGGGACGGAAGAGGAAGAAGAAGAAGAAGAAGAAACAGGAAAGAACAACTGCATCGGTGGTCACAGTCTTTATTCTCGCCGTATAGAACAAACACGGAGCAAACGACCCAATGACATCCTCGAAATCAGCCGGCTCGGCCCCATCACAAGCGAGAGGAGGAGGCAGGGACGGCATCACGAGTGGGATGTGCATGGGATTGCTCGTGTGGGAACAAAACATGCGAGAAGACATGACCTAAATACGGAGAAGCCTGTGTAGAACACAGCGCAAGAAACATGGAGGATACTGTAAAGCCTCGAACTCACTAAACAATATGCTGGTGCCATGTGCGAGCAAACTGAAATCCACATACATGTACCTGTCTACGCACGCAATGAATTGAGAACGCACGAGTGCAGCCTTGCGCGCTAAAGGCGTATTAGACAGAAAATGCTGAAACCTAGGCCGCATGATGTCATTACGCTCGCGCAGACAATTCTCATTCACGTTAATCATGTGCGTGCTCAGTAATCGACCTTTGTGGATGATAACCCGGAAGCCTGCGAAAGTGGACGCGTCCTCTACCTTCAGACGGCCTAGCATGTGATACGTGGTCTCATACAATTGCATGTGCTGGTCAGCGATATCAGCTGCAAATTGCGGGTTGTCAACGAGCATCCAGACGACAACGCATATGAAAATATCATCCACCCATCTGCACACTGCACGTTCTATGATGATGTCTGGCACGCTGGCAGACAAAATATGGCACATGTTCTCCAGATAACAGCATACCAACGAACACACCCCCGGTGATAGCGGCGATCCTTGCGTCATGCCGTTCGCAGGGCGAAATAGCTCAACGCCGAACAGCATATACCCCCACAACAAATCAAACAAAACAATGCTCTCAATGTCATCGATGTGTAGAACAACATGGTCGTTAGTAGCCACGCGTGCTTGTTGAACACGAGGGACAGACCGGTCACTTGTAGCAGGCATGATGTTCCTCGAGTACCCGTGAAAAGAACGTGACGACACTGGGCGTTGACGACGACGCTGATTCGAGAAGTCCCTCGGGATGCATATCACCTTTCTCCTGGAACCGAATCGGGCGACCCATTCGGAGACACACCACCGCCAGGCAACCAAAATAAGACCTCGATCCACATTGTTGAAGAAAGACTCTATGTCCCGCTTGTACGCGTGCGTGTAGCCGAACCATCCCCTCCTAGACCGGTCGCGCGTGCTCACGTTCAGATTGTGAAACCGGTCAACCACGGAGAACACATCGTGCACCGCGCTGGGGCCCCCAAGCTTGCACACCATGTGGTTAATAACGCGACACGTTAATGAGTATAATGGCTTGCGCGCGTGCTGGAAGTACGAACCCAGTGGCCGCATTTTCGCGTGGATCCCGCTATCCTTGACCCACCCCTGGAAATTCCCGAAAGCATGGCGTGCAGGAGAAACGACACGTACTCCAGAATAGGCTGCGCGCGTCTGCACATCCTCCAAAGCCTTCTCAAACTCGCGGTCACCAGGATAATCAAAGACAGCGTTGCCATGGAGTACCGCCAAATTGAAGCACCTATTCTGCCACCCCCTCGGACAACAAAAATAAATTACCATTCGACGTACCCAACCCACGTGCATCAAATGGCAAGAGGAGTATGCCAACATTAGCAGGAACAACGACAGTGTAGACGCGGCGATTTGCTGTGCAAGCTACATGGGATGCGCATGCGTTGCACGATTCACAGGACGACGATCGAAAGAACGAGGCTTGAGGCCCCAGGATCGAAGAAGAACGGGTACGGGAACGAGGGGTAGGAGAGGGATGGAATGGAGGGCGGGGGGGGCGAAAGGCCATCGCGGAAGCAGCAGCATGCATGGAGAAGGTGAGGCGGGGAATAGGACGACGATGAAAGTGGCGGGAGGAGACAGAAGACTGCCGCGTTTTTCAAGTGCGAGCTAAACCCGCAGCGCTGCCTGCGCCATGTCGTCGCAGAGTTCCACATGATAAAACTTGTTTAGAGTGCAAGGAACGAGCGAGGCGTAGCTCGCCCGCTAGCTTCTCCGCCTCCTTCCCGCACATTTCAGCGCGGGAGCTGAACGCTCGCAGGCGCGCCGCCAGGTCTGCGGGCGGCCCGCGGGAAAGAAACTCAAGGCCGGGGTCGCGCATCATCAATCGGTTGTCCATCGTCCAAAGTTGCACTGGCGACGTACTGGTTGAACGCGGAGCGAGCAGCATCACGCGCGTGCCTGAACGCCACGCAGGTACAGTGCACGCGCGATTGGGACTTCAGGTCGATCACGCGCGTCTCCACCAGGCTTGGCAACACCACGCGACTGAGGATCTCACTGCGGTCTGCCATGCTGCTGTCCGCGAATGCAATGCGCTGCCTGCAAGTAAGGCGGCGGCGTCCACTTGTCTCAGAAGATGTTCCCGCGGGCCCGAAGGGCGACCGCCAGCTCGAGCCGCGGCGCCGGCAGGCCAGATAAGGATCATGCAACAGCAAAGACGATGACAGAGCAACGAGGTATCGGCGAGTGCATGACCGGCCTCCGTTTCCTGCACTTCTTTCCTGTAGTTCCCCTAGCTCATCGAGCTCAGCAGATGTTTCTGCGGGTCCGAAGGACGACCGCCAGCTCGAGTCGCAGCGCCACGTGGCACGAACCGCAGAGCAAGGGCACGCGAGCATTGCTCGTGGTCAGAATCTGAGTCCCCGTGGTGCCTCACTCCGCTGGCCACCCACCAGCAGCCCTCGAAAGTGGCGACAGTTTCACAGATCGCAGCCGCCCAGGGGTGGCGAGGTCTAATATGAGTCCCCGTGGTGCCTCACTCCGCTGGACCCACCAGCAGCCTCGAAAGTGGCGACAGTTTCACACAGGGATGGCGAGGTCTAATCTGAGTCCCCGTGGTGCCTCGCTCCGCTGGACCAGCCAGCACCCCTCGAAAGTGGCGACAGTTTCACAGATCGCAGCCCCCCAGAGATGGCGAGGTCTAATCTGAGTCCCCGTGGTGCTTCACTCCGCTGGACCCACCAGCGACCCTCGAAAGTGGCGACAGTTTCACAGATCGCAGCCCCCCAGAGATGGCGAGGTCTAATATGAGTCCCCGTGGTGCCTCACTCCGCTGGACCCACCAGCAGCCCTCGAAAGTGGTGACAGTTTCACAGATCGCAGCCCCCCCCAGAGATGGCGAGGTCTAGTCTGAGTCCCCGTGGTGCCTCACTCCGCTGGACCCACCAGCAGCCTTCAAAAGTGGAGACAGTTTCACAGGTCGCAGCCCCCCCCCCCCCAGGGATGGCGAGGTCTAATCTGAGTCCCCGTGGTGCCTCACTCCGCTGGACCCACCAGCAGCCCTCGAAAGTGGTGACAGTTCCGCAGATCGCAGCCCGCCAGGGATGACGTGAAAGGCAAGAGAAGAGAAGAGGAGGAGCGAAGAGAGGAGGAGAAGGCAAGCAAGAGAGGAGAGGAGGAGGGAAGAGAGGGGGGGCGGGAGGAGGAGAACGGAGACCGCAGTGCTCTATTCAAAACGAGTACCCAACGCAGGAGGGTTGGGAATAATGGATTTGTTTTTGTCCACGGGCCCTGACACAGCGATGTTATTTACTTTCGCCTTCCACGACATCATGTCCCCTCTCGAGCGCCCTCATGCCCCTGAAGTGCTTTTTCTCCAGAAACATGTTGTTGGCGATCGCCCAAAACGAGTGCATGTCCAGAGCAAACGGTCCCCGGATGATGGTGCGAACCCGGTCTGCACGGTGCTGGAAGGACGTCGAACATTGTCGTAAGAAGCTTTGCCGGTGCCATATCAGACCACTCTCCAGAGCAAAATGCATTAGGGAAAGCTTGTGCGAACGTGCTAGTAGAAGACCTAATGCAATAGTGCGCCTTCCCCTCGTTCCCCTCGTCCCACCCCAATACGACGCGCAAAGCAGAACACGCACACGGAAAATCATACTCTGAAAGACGTCTCGCCCACCATTTAATATTCACCATACTTGGCTTAATCGACGGGGACTTGGTTGGCTCCGTAAGCAGAGTAAGACGAGCTTTAGGAGGCAAGACTTCGGCAATCTGTTCCTTCACGCTGTCCACCATGAGTCGTTCAACATCAACCCCGAGGAGAAGAGGAAATCGAAGGAGAACAGTAGTAGACGGAGCACCATTATGAGTAAACACGTCCGAAATACGAGTCTTCGCCACGAAATTGGGCACCCCATACAGATAGGAATCGATGACGTTGTGCAGCCGGTGAATGAGACCCGTTGAGCGGTCGTACAATTTTTGAACGCCCTTGGCGACATTCTGGCCCTTCGCCCTCGTGTCTCCCAGCCTCAGAGCCAAGATGCCAAGGTGGATCCGGCCACGCGCGCAATGTTGGGCGAGCCGACCTGGCTCACACCCCACGTCCTCCGACGTTCGAATAGCACGTCCCACAAAATGAGCTCTGTGAGAAGAACGAGGAAGATGATCATAAGGATCACGATGTCGAGTGTGCGCGCTACGGAGAACATGACTATGACAATGTTTGTACACCCATGGGGTGTTCAGCTTGGGATTGAGTACGTTGCACAACGAACGCTCCACATACTGTAGCTCCAAGTCGTTAGAACGCTCAAGACAAACGACGGGACATACAATAAATGACGACCACCCAAGACGACGCATCACATCATATGCAGGCAAATCCCTCTTTCCTCCTTTCTGGCCCACGATCTGTGAATGGTGCTCCACCGTGCGCCCCCCCAGTCCCCGGATGGATTTGCCGATGTATGTGTATGTATGGTGTGTAGAATACCACGTGTAAACGATCTGGCCCTCGGAATTGCACCCGCGCCGGCTGGGAGAAACCATCTCTGTG